TATTCCCATCACTGTAAAAGTCCATAACATCCACACTCCTCTTTCTCTCAATTTTTTTTTCATATTGCATTTCACACCGGAACACATACTTCCCACACAAATCTTAATACTATGTATCAGAATCATGAGAAGCATTAAAAAATACATGTGCCCAGCCTTATCACAACATATTGAGCCTTGACTTCCCAGGGTGGAATCTTGGCCTGTATAGTGTTATCAAGTTCCCTCAATAACTCTAATGCTTAGGAAGGTCTGAGATCCACTGGATTAGAGGCCAAGATCCCATCCAGCTCTAAAATTCTATGATTCTGTGAACTTTAGCAACACTTAACCGTTTGTTTACTCGGTCAGTGCAATTTTGTTGTTTGGATATCTTGACATCTAATTATTTCATATTTAGTTCCCAAACTAAATTGTGGGGTTGGAATTATAATATGGCTTTTCTCTTCCCTGTAGTACTAAGCACTCTGAAGCATATGTTGTATGTTCAATCAATACACACTAAATGAGATCAGAATTGCTAGGCAATAGGGAAACACTGTTGAGTTCCTAGGATTGTTAATTTGAGTTTTGTAGATTAAAAAACTACATTATGGTTCAAAAGGGCCTTGAGACTGAGAGCTATCTGAAGTAGTTGAGAAACTTTTTGAGAACTTGGACCTTCTAGACTGTGTAGTAAAAACAAAATCAAAAAGCTTACGCTACAGAGATAAAATATTTATGGCAGAGTAACAAATACTACAAATTGATACTTTAAAAATCCTATAAATTATAAAAGTCTTAATTTATTAAACAATCCCGCAGCTGGGATAATTTTCTTCATGCAACCTTAAATGAATTTCCCACCTAACACCCGTCATATATTTGGGTGTTGGTTAAGACTACCAGATCCTGCACAGCCATCATCAGTAAGCTGACTGTGTCCACAACAAGGATTTGAAATCGAAGATGAGAAAGAAGTAATAGCCATTTCCCCTTTTTAACTACAACTGAAGTTGAGTTACAATTTTGACATTTTCATCAAAATTTTAGAAAGAGAAAATATGGATGAAATTATACACCAGAAGACATTTGGCAAAAGTTGACATGATGCTTGTTTTTGTCACTAGGTAGGGCTAGCTTTATTTTTAGAGTCAGCTACTATTTGCAGGATACATTGTAAAAATGTTTTCCCTAGCTTTAGCTACTTCTGATGCAGGGATACAAGTTGGGTAAACACTAGTGGGGAGAGAGTGACAAAGTAACAATTTAGCATTTTGGGACAAATCTCCCTCTGGCAGATTTCTGTACAAAAGCCTAGCTCTAGCCAGGTATCTAGTAGGTGGACTTCCAACTCTGTGGTAAATGAAAAACAAATGAGGAAATGACAAGAGTCAGTGCTGCCACTGATCAGTAGTGACCTCAAAGCAAATAAACCTCCCTTTATATAGGCATCTTCTCTGTACCAAACGAGACCATTTCCCCCATATGTATACTTGGTCCTCTTTTGTCATTTCTTAAAACTTCCAAATACCCCCGTGTTTTCCTTAGCGAATCTCGTTGTGCTTGGTAATCAGAGGTGTGTCTAGGAGGAAACAGATGTACTAACTTCTGATTCACAACCTTTGCCAAATGAACCAAAAGTGTCATTTCTACTTTTGTAGAAAGGGCAGACAATCATTCAGGGATTGGACAGATTTCTCCCCCCCAAGCAATTCCTTATTAATAATGACTCTGAGTAATACCTGCCAGATGATCTATAATTAATATGATTGCTTGGAAATACCCAAGCCTAATAATGCCGTAATTCATATGAATAAAACTGTATATAATGTGTAAATTCATGCCATTCCCACCTTAACTGAAGACTGAGGCGTGTGAGTTGCAGCATTCTGATCTGGACTTGCTTTGTCCCCTGTGTAATGTGCTGCTGCTCCGAGATCAATGGTTTTGGAAGGGTTGGCTGTGCGCTTGTGCCTGGTTGTGGTGGTCTCTGTGGCTTGTGTGATGTGGATATGCTTTGTCGTCACAGTTTCCTCTTCATCTTTGAATTCACCTTTGGGAGATCTGCCTCTTCTTGCTTTCTTTTCTTCATCACTGTCACTAAAAGATATTAAAAATGAAGCAAAATAATAAGACTAGGGATTATTTTAAAATGGAGTCCTCAGTGATTTGCACTAAAGAATTTCAAACACAGTAACTCTAAAATTCCATACTTTGACTATTTGACAGGGATCAACAGAATGTGATCTAAGCTATCTGAGTAATGTTATGTGTGTGTGGGAGAGAGGAAGCAGGAACCTGACAAATTTCCCAGGTAAGTCTAAAACACTGCTACAAAAATATTTACATAAATGTGTACGAATAAAAAATGTATGAAATAATTCAAGTGCTTATTTAATATAGACTAAAGCTTAATTAAAAAAAAATAACAGAATTATCATATGAGAATCAACCCATGAGACCCTAGGAGCTCAACATCTGCATTTGATGACCATATTCTTGAAATGGGTTGTGTGGAACTACAGTTCTATTTATGTAACTTAATTCTGTCACTGAATCTCATATACTAATGCAATACATAGTAAAATATTCCAATTTCAATGAGTATCTTTTAAATATTATTTGAATTCAAATTAAACACTAATCTGGTAAATGCAGAAAGCTGTAAAGTAATGCACTTTACAACTGTGTTCTTTTTTACTACAGTATCAGCAGATCAAACTTTTACATAACTATGAAAATTCCTTTACAGAAAAGTTAAGTATACTTAAAAACTTCTGAAATTATTTTTCAGGCACATAAAAAAAAAACACGTTTTTTTTAACATTGCAAAAGAAAAAATATATAACAAGTAAGAAACGGGGTTTTTCATATGCTGTGAATTTAAAAATGCCAGCACTAGTCTGTTCTACAGAAATGAAGAGTTGTTGTTTTTAATGCAAGGACACAGGGAGAAATATGTCCTGAAGTATGTTCCATTATCTATACTACTTCATTTTTGAGTAGGTGGTTTAAAAATATTAATTTATAAATATTCTGAAATAAAATACTGAAAATTCCCTTTAAAACTATAACTATTATTACTGATGAAATTTAACTCAAACTAATCGAAAGCCAATTTCTACTAAAATATAAACTAAAAACAATTGGAATTGTTTCATTCCAAATCTGTATAAAACAAGGATCAAAAAGCATGACTTCCAACAGAGTAAAGGCATTAAATTTATTTTTATCTATACGCATTTTAGGGAATCTTCAAGTTCTGATTGTTTAAAAGTCCTTGTAATTTACTATGTAATTTCTCAGCATAAATGACCTACAGAGTCCCACCATCAGTCCAATAAGTAAAACAGAAATTTCTCACCTTCTTGATGTTCAGTTTTATTTCAATCAAGGTAATTTCTTTACAAGTTGAGAATATAAACCTGACTAGCATACCATAAAATGGAAGCCTTATATTTGATCTATGTTCAAGAATTCCTGAATTTAATAATAAACTAAGAAGTTTGAAATTCTGATAGTATGCCAAAGGGGTCATATGCAACTTTGTCTAAAAATCTACATTTCTCTCACAAATACTCCAAGAGGTAAAAGTCCTTGGTGTGCCCATTAATTACTACAATAAATAACACACAAAATATTTTCACTCTTTAACTTGAATACTCTATATAAAAGATTAATGAACTCCAGTAGATTCTATCAAGTAGATAGACCCAACATGGAAAAAAAATTTTAGGTAGAAAAAGGAAAAAAAAAAGAACAGGAAGACAAAAGCATGGAAAGAAAAACTGAGGGTGGAAGGGCAAAGGAAATAATACAAGAATGTACACAGTCAAATGTCTAATCAGCCCATCTACCTGATTCTCACACTTTAGAAAACAGCAACAGAATATATGGCCACAATGTTAACAAGGCTTCTAGCGCTGTTGTTATTATTGTTATTTTTAGTCCTTACCCAAGGATATGTTTATTGATTTTGGGGTGGGGTCAGGGGGAGAAAGAAACAGCTCTTGATGGAGCAGCACAGTGGACTGAGCCCTGGCCTGAAAGCTGTAAGGTTGCCAGTTCGGTTCGATTTGATTACCAATCAGGGCACATGCCTAGGTTGTGCGCCATATCCCTGGCTGGGGGTGTGTGAGAAGCAACTGAGTGATGTTTCTCTCCCTCTCGCTCTGAAAATAAATAAATAAAAAAATCCTTTTTTTTTTTTAAGGAGAAAAACATTGATATGAGAGAAACATTAATCAGTTATTTCCTATATGTGCCCTGACTAGGGAACAAACCTACAACCTTTCTGGAATATGGGATGATGATCCAACAAACTGAGCCACCTGGCCAGGAATCACTAACTTATTTTAGGCAAGTTCAACACAGCCTGACAGGGCTTCAGGTTTTACTTTGCAACAATAAGGGTGAAATCCTTTCTCTAGCCTATCTAATAGAGGTACTTTGAGACACACATGACAAAAATCTTGTAACACTTGCTCTGCAAATGAAATGCTACATACATTGCCCTTTTAACTGGCAGCAAAACTAGTTTATAGCTATACTGGTAGGCAGAACAAAAATGAATGCTTTTTTAGTCTTATATAAAACTAAATAAAAATGCTCTACCATTAGAAAATGTAGTTTATGAAAATACTGGTCTGTAGTCAAATACATTTAGTCCAAAAATCCAAAATCCATTTGGATTTTTTTCCTGGTACACACTGGCACAGAACCCTAATGAAATGTCACAGGAGGAGTTAGATTTCAAACCATTTAACTTTTGTTTAAATTTAATAAAATAAACTTGGTTCCCTTAGCAATACCTTAGATCTCTGGGGAATCTGATGCCCAAGTAAAAAATAAGCTTTGAAAGTTCTTATTGAGAAAAAACATTCCAATAAATAGCCTGAATAAAAACATATAGTATACATGATAGCGTTAGAAATGCATGGATAGAGACAACATGGAAAGTGTGTCAGCACTAATTTCAGACAATGTTTGACCTAGCATCTTCAAAATGAGACACAGAGTCGGTCATCAGCAGCAAACATACTAACACTGGAACAATACAGAGATCAAAAGCATGACCTCTGTGCAAGGATGACATGCAAATTCATCAATCATTCCATTTCTTCACATGGCATTTTTAGGGCAGTGTAACTGTTCTATATGATTCTATAATGGTGGGTATTATCCATTTGTCAACTGTACAACACAGTGAACCCTAATGCAAACAACAAACTTATTTAATAACAATATATAAATATTGGTTATCAACTGTTATTAAATGAACCATAGTAATGCAAGATATCAATAAAAGGAGAAATTTGGTGTGTGTGAATATGACAACTATGTAACTTACGCACAATTTTTCTGAGAACTTAAAAAATAAAATCTATTAGGGGAAAAAAGCTGAACTTTGAATAATGGTAACACCCAAAACAAAACAAAAACAAAAACAAAAAAACCCAGCTGCACAAATTTAGCACCCTCTCCAAGAGACCCAGAATACAAAGTGTTAGTACCTGCATCTTTCTGGGGAGTCTTCTCTATCTTTCCTCCGGAACTTGCTGATGGTATCATCAATTGTGCTTCCAATTTTATCACTCAGTTCACCTAATTTATCACTGAATGGAAAAGCACTTTTGTTTTTATCCCACTCCTCATCCCATTTTGATTTGGGCTCAGGATCATATCTTTCACCTATATAAAGCATTAAAAAAAAAGAAGCAGCTCTAAGGATATTAAATACAAAAGGTGTCTACAGTTCTTTCTGAAGCTTTTCTCATAATAAAATAGTTTTCAAAGGAAAACAGAAAGCTCCCATGGTGCTGAATCAACACAATTACAGCAAGACACAGCATGTAGTGCCAGTCATTAAGTGGAGGAAAATGCAGATTCAAAAGCTTTCATTTATGAAAACGTATACAACCATAATGCACAGCACAGCATTATCAGGAAGTTCTTAGGGGTTGTTGAAAGGAGTAGAGGAAAACACAAAAACCAACAAAGGCTATGTAAACAAAGGAGAAACAGAAATCTTTTTGTTTTTACAAAAGTCACTTAATGAATTATATTTCATTCCTCTCTCTTATTGGTTTTTCAACTATTAGGAAAGTATTGGACAGCTAAGTTTCTTAAAACACAAGCTTAAAAAAAAAACCCACCATTCTGAACGTTACATGTCCCAATGTGCTATAAAGGTATTCCTTAGTATCAAACTAGAAAAAGAACTCAATGGATTTTACAACACAAGAAAGCATCTTTTAATTACAGTAAAAAGAAAAGAATATTCTAACTACCAAATGCTACACAGGCTGGAATCATGAAATATGCTCAAGCAGTTCAGAACAAACACACACTAGGACTGGTCAAGCCTAGGGAGCCTCAAGGCAAATCTGAAAGGGAACAAAACTCCCAAAAGTCAAGATTTGTTTTAGTCCTTGACCTTGGGGTCCAAAGGAGAGAAAGGAATTACAGGCATTAAAGGGAACCTTTCCATTCCCATGTCCATGTCCATGTCCAAGCTTAAGAGGCAAAAATAGAAAGTACAGAAAAATCACATGAGGTTAAAAAGAAGAACACATTGAAAATTAAGGCAGGTTGGAGAGAAAAGGAAAGGGCAAAGAGAAATAACAGAATAACCCAAAGGTGGTAAACAGAGCTTTTTTCTTGAACTTTGGTAAATAAGTTCTGACAGCACATATGTCCTTTGCAGATTGAACAAAACCACTGTACTGAATTGCCTGCTAAAACTGCAAAGTCAAAATTTTCTGTAAGAGCTTGAGATTTTTAAAATGTCTACTAAATCTGAAAGTAACCACCAACTTGAACAAAACATGAAAAAATAAAATTAGATAAAATTTAAACCAGGACAGTTTTATAAATATGGTGGTTTTCCAACAGTATTTCAATGACGTGATAAACTCATCTTTGAAAAAAAACTGATCAGAAAAATGAAAGAAGATGAAAACTAAACTGATTAATGTGGTAGATATACTAAAATACATGCCCAAAACACTGGATGTTGGCAGGACATTATCTAATGGTAAAATGAAAAAACCCCCCACAAAATAGTTAAAGTTGATTAATTACGTCTCTGAATCATATATATATGTGATGCAAATACACAGGCCATTCAACTCTATCTCTACTGCAGATACTATAATTAGTTCACTGTGATTGATTCTGAAAATGTATTCAATTTTCTAATTTATCTAATTATATAATGTGCTGGTAAAAAAGAGGACTACAAACAAACAGAATGAGAACATAAATTGTAAATAGCAATTTCTACTCATAAACACATTAAAATGCTATAGCTACTTTGAAAAAGTTAAAGTATAAAATAATTTCTTGGGCAAATAGTCCAAAAACTTATTCACCTAAATAAATAAAAACTTTAAAATATATTTACATGACTTAAGATAAATATTTTTGCCTAATTCAAGAATTCACTTTTATGTAACGCTGAGACACTAAAGAAAGAAATGTTTCTGCTGTTAGAAACATCTTCTAAGAACTATTTAATTGAAGCATTTTCTTTGTGAACAAGAAAGCAGAGTGCTCAAGCAAAGCAGTAAAAATATTATTTTACAGGCAATCACAAGACATGAAATAGAAGGTTTTCATATAGTTCCAATGATGAGTTACGAGTTCTCAGAATAATCCAAATATAAACACATTCAGATATGGGTGGGAGGAGCTGGGGAGTCCCAGTATGCAGCTGCCAAGCAGATGGAGCACTGGCCTGTCTGTGTGGACACAAAACTACCAGGGGGTTGTTAGAGGTCCAGAAGATATGAGTCCAAAAAGACGTACTACGAAAGAGTTATTTTCTGTATCTGTGTCAAGCTCTTAGTGATCCATTTCAGGTAAACAACATTATTACATTAAAAATAAATATGGGAGATGAATGTTCTACCTGCCCTTTTTGGAACAATATCGTCCGTCACTTTTACCAATGTCAAGTTAATGCACTGCTTAATGAAGGGAAAAGACTGAGGCTGAAGCAACTTATAGGAAGCTTAGTATCTATTTTTGGCCAAAAACAGATAAATTGGTTTCAAATTAAGAAGATTAATCTCTTGCTCAAACTTCATAATTTTATGCTCTAAATCGTGAGTTAGAGAAATCCTTTTTTCTCTTTCAGAATGGTAACACTTAAGAGATAAGGGTATGTATCTGGTTTTGTTTTCTGTATACCAACTCAAAGTTTGCAGTAATTTGATTAGCAATTAATGGTTAAAATCATATCCTTGAACCCACGAAATAAAAAGATTCCCAAGATTTCACATAATAGGAGCTAAAATGACTATTACATTTATTTTAGTATTCTACATATCCCTGGAAAAATAAAAAAATAGCATCTTGGTCTTTCATAGTTCAGTGGTTCTTAAAATACACCCCAGAAGCTAAATTGATGGTTAGGTGTCAGTCTGTTTTTGATACTCACTATATCTGAATCCTCCAACACTTTCTGAGGAAACCCCAACATATTTGTCTTTGTTCTTCTTTGCTTTCTTTCGCTCTTCACGAAGCCTGTCATCATCTTGGGCAAATTCAACCAATTCTTTGACCTTCTGGCGAATATTTATACCCTGATCCTTGCCATGCTCATCTGTGAGGAGGGTAAGGGAGAAACAAAACCTTAAGGATTCAGGTAATCTCTATCAAAACCTTTAACACAAAAAACAGGCATGAAAATTTCAACCTAAGAAACCAATATTTTAAAATTAATATAGAGGCAAATTATGCTGTTAAATTTTGTCATTTTCTCAAGGGCAAATTGTGACTTTTGAGATGCAATTTTGGTTTATAAGAGCATGTGAAGGTGAACTAAAAGAGACCACAGATAATAGTGCTATGCAAGATCAATTAAAGATCCACTAAGAAGGATTACTAATGATGACCACAAGAAATGGACTTATGTCCATAAATTTAGTTTCAACAAAACAAAAAGCAAAACTCACTTCAGTCATTAACACTTACATTTTAATGACTGAAAAACACCCAAATCCCTTGGTTTTCCCAATACAAATTTGGAAAAACTAATTACCAGAATTTAGTATAGCTGAAAAACTGAATTTTTAAAGTGCTTTCAACTGGAGTATACTACAAAATGAAATGTGGTTCATTCTGTATCTTCTTTCACATTCAGAACACACTCTGGTCCTGCTGCCTTTGCACAGTAAATATTATTTGGTGGGAGGAAAAAAAACCAGCTTCAAACAGATGTGTGTGTTTTGGAGCTCTAACCTTTTCTTCCCATATGATTAAAGCTATTCCTTTATGGACACCACAGGGGACCAGTCTCCAGTGCATATTTTAATATAAACCCGAACACTCATGTTGTGTTGGTTCTGTTGTTATTAGCCAGTCTTTTCTGCAAGTTCTTGTCTTCACTAATTAATACTCTAGGGCCCCACGTCTTGGATTCTGCACTCGTCACACAACCAGCAACAGTCACATTCTAATTAGAGCGGAGAAGCTTCTAAGCTGGTTCAGGTGACTGACAACTCCAACTACTGTTTTAATTTGCTTATAAGGTTTTTCTATTGCTCACCTACAAAGTGGTAATTTTCCAGGGATCGCAAATCATAAATGTGTTCTCTGGCACTTGTAACAACACGTTCTGATCCATTCCTTATGAGGTAAGCTAGGAGCAGCAATGACTGTAAAAATACAAAGCACCAAGTGATTTAACAAAATAAATACTGGTAGAGCTTTGGTAAATGGTTAAAAAAAATAATTTCAACATTAGCAAATGAATAATCTTTGTGTGTGAGGCAGGGGGAGGGGACCTCTTTACCATATATTAGACTATATACAGCCTATTATCAATCTGGAGTTCCTCTTATACCAAGCATAATAAATGAACTGTCCACTGGACATCATGTGTGAGATTAAAAATATAATTCTAATGTTACGAAATATTTGAAGGTATGATATAAATGAACACTAAGCTTTTAGAAAGCTGGCTCAGTTTTTACTTTTCATCTGGGCATTACAGAACTGTGAGTTGTTAGAGCACCAGTTGAAAGAGAACAATTGTTGCCATTTCCGGGTAGCACTACTGGCTAGAGCATCATCCCCACACACCAAGGTGGCGGGTTCGATCCCTCTTGAGGGCACA